GTAGTTGTTGTTGCTTAATGGGGCAATCCATGGCTCTTGGACTGCAATAATATCAACTTTAAGCTCGACTGCTAGTTGTAGCGTTGACTCTGTAGCGTGTAGGCTCTTGTTTAGGTTCACTTGTAGAATCTTAATGTTCTCTAACATAAAGATGGCTGCTAAGGGCCTCTCTTTGTTATAGCTAGAAAGATCTCGCAGTCTTTGCTATTAGCGAAGTGGGGCTTTTTGCAGTTGTAGCACTTAGGGAGAGTGTGTCTGCATGGCTTTCCTTTCATGCTGCAGCTTGAGCAGTTGTGCTAAGCAGTTGTGTAGCTTTCTGCGCACAGCTGGCATGCTGCTTGGTTTCGGCACCTGCTTGCGTTGTGGCCAAAGGCTTGGCAGTTGGAGCACTGCGTTGTAGGTGGCGTGGACCTGTATTTCTCGGTTCGGAGAGACTGGCCTAGGATTGTGATCCTACTACCTATCTTCTTAGCTTCCTCTTCTATCTTAAAGGCAACTACTATAGAGCTAGTCTGCTTGCTCTTCTAGTTCTTTGTTAACTAGTAGGGGTTGCCAACAATAGTTTGTCCTTTGTTATAGGTTGGGATCTCGTTGTAGAGGACCTAGAGCGATTCGGCTCCTTCGAACGTTGTTGGCACTCTATAGACTACTACCTTAGTCCAAGCTTCAATTAGTTAAGCCTTTTTAACTTAGAGTTGGTTTTGCCAGGTGTTAATTTGCTGTAGTAGAAATTTGCTAGAGTATCCTTTAGTTGTTATAATAATTAAGTTGTTCTTTCTGCTAACTAACACCTCTTTAACAACAAGGGCTGTTATGCCTGCCTTCTAGAAAGCTTAATTAATTTTATTCCTAACTATTAGCGGGCTAGTTAACTAGCCTTCTTCTAGCGTTAGAAGCATCTAGTAGTGAGCGGCTGGCTTCTTTAGGTTAGCTTTCTTCCTTAGCTGTACTGTTATCCAAGGCTGGCTTGTTGTGTTCTTAGCTGCGATTGTAGCGTATAAGGCCTAGGGCTTTTAAGTTAGTTAGAAAGGAGTAGGAGCTACTATTGTAGCTACAGTTGTGGCCTTCTTTAGTGTTTTTATTGCCTATTAGGAGGCGTTTGCAAGAGTAGCTAAGTGATAGGCGAGTTTGGCAGATAGTTTGTTAGCAAACTAGTTTACTACTCTGCCTTTCTCGGTGTAGTCTCTAAAGACGTCTAGTAACTCTAGGAGCTTATCTTAGGCCACATGAGATTCAGCCATAGTTAACGCTTAGAGAATCAGGTCTCTCGCCCAGTAGATGGCCTGCTCCAAGTTCTTAGCAGTTGGTTTTGGGGTAGAGGAGTTCTAGAAGAGGTTTCTGCCTCTATAGGCAGCCTCTGGCGAGAAGTTGGCTTGGCGCTTTTTTGGTGGTAGGATTGGGATTTCAACGACGCTCTCTTGGCTAGCTGGTTGCTGGGTAGGAGTGGCTGGGTAGGGGTCCTCTCTGTCCATTTCCCTGTCGATCTGAGCCTCTGGGCCTAGGCTCTCTTGCCTCTGTTCTAGCACTTGGGCTTCGATAGTATCGCTTTCTGGTGGCATTCTGTTGCTGGGGTTCTCTTATTACTAAGCAGAGTGGTCTGTGT